GCTCCGGACGCGCCCCACCCCGGGCGCCCTGCGTGCGAGCTGCGTTCGGCGGAGCCGGAGGTGAGCGCGGCGGAGCAGGTGGAGCGCGGGCGCGGGCGTGGGCTGTGCCGGGTGGGGAGGGGGCCGGCCGGGACGAGGCTCTTTGTCTCCGGAGCCCGAGCGCGGGCATCCGGGCCGTTCTTTCTCCCGGCAGGTGCCAGGGTCCCTCGGGAAGGCCGGGGAGGGCCTGTGACGGTTCTCTATCACCGAGGCCGGCAGTCCCTGGGGGAAGGCGAGGGATGGGGCCAGGATCTCAGGTCCTGGGAGGGAGCAGGAGGGGCAGTGGGGCGGTGGGTGGACCAAGGATTCCTTCTGGTGTTTGGGGGAGCAGTGACGATAGGTCGTGGGGACCATCAGCAGAACAGCGAGGCAGGTTGGGTGGGAAGGATGAGGGGAAGCGATGGAAAAGAAGGCTGAGGTCCCGGTCAGTGCTGATGGCTGGGAAGGAGGCAGAGAAGACCCTGGTCCCCACAGGTAGTGTTGTTGTGCAGGACTTGAGGTTCTGATGGGTCAGTCTGATCATCAGGTGCAGGATGGACAAGAAGGACAAGGCCAAGAGCGGGGCCACCCCGCGGACGCTGGCTTCTCGCCCTCCTGGCCTCCAGACCCCCAAACCACCCGGGTCCCCTCGACCCCTTCCACCAGTAACCAGCGCAGCCCTCCGTGTTCTGGGGGCAGCGGGGCGAAAGTCCCTGGCGGAGCGAGCTGGAGGCACGGGGACAGCCACTGCCCTCGAGGCCTCTCGGGGACCAGCGCGGAGCTTTGGGACGAGTCCCCGGAGTCCAGGTACCCCAGCTTTCTTCGTGCATCTTGACCTTACCTCCTTTTCTCCAGACCACAGTCTGCCCCCCTCCCCCATTCCACCCTTCCAAGGTCCCATTGATTTTGTGGTTTCCCCGCAGCAGCGGCCAGACCCCCAGGGGTCTCTAGAGCAGAGCGGGTTCCTGCCAAGACCCCCACCCCAGGCCCAGGCTCTGTTTCTAGCCCAGCACGAGCCAGCGGGACTGCCAGGTAACACCCTGTCCCCACCCCAGTCCCCCAACAAGGGTTTGCGTCACTATGTGGAACCTTTTGATTTTACCCATCAGTGGGGGGGAAATTGGAATATTTGCAGTTTCCTGGGCACAAGTATGGATGAAAACCATTATTAGTTCACAGGCAGGGGTAAATGCCCTATTTCACGGATGGGTAAATGGAGACTTAGGCTGTCAAACACGGAGCTGGGTTTCTGCCCTGAGCGCTGTCCCTCCTGTTCTCAGGTCTGTACCTGCTAGCCAGAAGGGACCCCGACCTACAGCTGAAGAGCCTGGAGCCAGAGGGAAAGCCACGGAGGTCCCCAGGAGGAGTGCCCCGAGCACTGCAGCACGAAAGGGTAAGTGACCTGGGGAGGGGCGAGGTGCCTGGACAGCGAAGGGGCACTGGAGGTGACCCCCTGGCCCTCTGCTTTGTCTCCAGACTCTTCTGGGCCCACGCCTAGTGCTCCTTCCCCTGCCAGTGCCCGTAGGTCCCGGGTGCCCGAAGCTGAAGTGGGGCTCCCCCGGGCAGCTCCAAGTTCTCGTCCTCAGCCCCCCACGGAGGTCGCCAGGAAATCAGTGAGCAGCGCCGGGCGCAGTGCGGCTGAGCCAAGCCCCACCGCAAGGAGGCGCCCCAGTGCAGGCGGGGGCCTGCAGATGCCGGCCCCGCGCCCCCTGAATTCCAGAGCCGCCCCTCTGCCCTCTCCAGCGCCAGCGCGCTCCGGGACCTCGGCCCGAGGGGCATCTCGAGCTCCAGCGCATCCTTCCCAGCCCAAAGCCAAGGGACTGCAGGCTCAGCGCCCCCTACAGGCCACACCCCCAAAGAAGGCCACCGCCCCTGGGCGGGGCCAGCCGCCTCCTGCAGCCACATCCTCTTCCCAAGGTCCAAGCCCGCTTCAGCCACCGCAACCTCAAGTCACTGCCCACCCGCTGCCAGCCACGTCATTTTCTTCCCCACCGAACATGCCCCCACTGTCTGCTAAACTCAGTCTTCAGAACCCGCCCTCTGCACTGACCGCGCCCCCTTCCCAGGCCCTTCCCAGTCGTATGACCACGCCTCCATCATTAGCCCCTCCTTCGGCGACACGCCCTCTACAGACCCTCCTTTCTCCGTCAGCCACACCCCCTTCTCAAGGATCATCCTTTCCGGAAGAATCTGCCTCTGTCCTGGCCACATGCTCTCCATCAGTTTCACCTCCTCTGCAAAGCATGCTCCCAACTCCAGATCCTCTGTCTGTGTCCCCTGTCCACTCTTCCTTGGTCACACCGCTGTTGGCTACTCTGCCACCAACCACGCCCCTTCCACTGGGTCCCATCTCTCTGACACCTGCGATGGATCCGCCCTCTCCTCCAGCCACACCCCTTCCCTCGCTGACCAGCCCCTCTATCCTGGCTCCTTCTCCCCTGGCTCTTCAGGCCACCTCCCCAACGCAGGTCCTTCAGCAGGATCCCCTAGCTTCTCCCTTGGCCACACCCCTTCTAAAGGCCCCATCTTCTGCGGTTTCACAGCCTCTGCAGGCCCCGCCTTCTAAAAAAGCCACGCCCACCACAGCCGCGCCTCCCCAGCAGGCCCCGACCTCTCCCCAAGCCACGCCCTCTACAGCCACGCCTCCTTCGCAGGACCCTCCTTCACCTCCTCTGCAGGTCTCTCCCTCTCCCCAACCTTTACCCCTTCAGCAGGCCGCCGTCTCTTCCCCAGTCTCAGCTACTCTGCAGGCTCCTCCCTCTCCTCCGGCCACACCCCCTCTAGAGGCACCTCCTTCGCCCCCTCTGCAGGTTTCTCCCTTTCCCCTAATTTCATCCCTTCCTCAGGTCTCACCCTCTCCCCTTGACTCAGATACTTTGCAGGCTCCTCCTTCTCCTCCTGCCTCACCCCTTCTCCAGGTCCTTCCTTCTTCCTCAGCCTCACCCCTTCTTCAGTCCCCTCCCTTTCCAGCAGCCTCAGCTCCTCTATCTCCTCCAGCCTCACCCCTTCTCTTTCCCTCAGCCTCCTCCCTTCTGCAAGCCCCTCCCTCTCCCCCAGCCTCCCCGCTTCTACAGGCCCCCTTCTCTCCTCCAGCCTCACCCCTTCTGCAGGTCCCTCCTTCTCCCCCACCCTCACCCCTTCTGCAGGCTCCTCCCTCCCCCCCAGCATCACCTCTTCTCTCTCCTCCAGCCTCACCCCTTCTCTCTCCCTCGGCCTCACCCCTTCTACAACCCTCTCTCTCTCCTCCAGCCTCACTTCCTTCTTCTCCTCCAGCCTCACCCCTTCTGCAGGCCCATCTCTCTCCCCCTACTTCACCCCTTCTACAAGCCTTGCCTTCTCCCCCCGCCTCACCCCCTCTGTTGTGCCCACGCCGTCCCCCGACCCCGGGACCCGATGCCCCAATTCCTGGTCCACGGCTGACCCTGGCGCTAGCCCCAGCTCCGCCCCCACCGCCCTCGCGAAGCCCGTCCAGCACGCTGAGCGGCCCGGACTTGGCTGGCCACAGCAGCAGCGCCACCAGCACTCCCGAAGAGCTGCGTGGGTATGAGAGCGGGCCAGAAGGCGGCGCTGCGGCGTCCCCGCCCGCCGATGCCGAGCTAGCCGCCTGCCACCCCGCCGCTTGGAGCAGAGGCTCCGCTCCGCCGCTGGCTGTGAGAGGCGCCCCAGGTGAGCGACCTTCCAGAGCCCCTGGATGCTGCCTGGCAGCGGGAGGGCCTGGCAGAAGGACGGGGCGGAGAGACGGGATATTAAGGCGGTGGGCGGGGCCTCACAGATCGGGGCGGGGTGGGCGAGGGAATGGGCGGGATATTATGGATGGGGAAGTAGGCGGGGCTCGAGGATCAGGGCGGGGCAGGCGAGGGTGCAGGCGTGGCCTCACGGATCAGGGCGGAGCAGGTGAGGAAATGGGAGGGATATGTATGGGAGAAGTAGGCGTGGCCTCACGGATCGGGAGGGGCCGTGAGGAAGTGGGCGTGGCTTCATGGATAGCGACCGGGTGAGGGAATGGGCGGAATATTGTTGTTATGTGCCATCTGCTCTATCCCGTGCCAATCGCACTGCCTCTGACACACCCATCCTGATTACCCCAGTTACTGAATCAATCCACCTCATAGAGGGTCTTCCCCTCCTCAGCCATCCCTCTACTCTACCCAGCATGATATCCCTCTCCAAAGACCTGTCTCTCCTTGCAACATGTCTGAAGTATGTCAGATGAAGGCCCAGAATCCTTGCCTCCAAGGAGTAGCCTGGTTTAACCCTCTCTAGGATGAATCTGTTTGTTTTCTTGGCAGTCCATGGAACATTCAATACTCTTCTCCAGCACCACAGCTCAAAGGCGTCAATTCTCCTTCTGTCCTCCCTAGTCATTGTACAACTCTCTGATGCATAACAAGTGATTGCAAAGACCATGACCTGTATCAGGCGCACCTTAGTCTCCAAAGAGACACCGTTGCTCTTGAGTACTTTAGAGAGATCCCTAACAGCAGACTTTCCCATCGCAATACGTTTTTTGATTTCCTGGCTGCTGGTGCCAAGAGTGTTGACTGTGGAGCCGAGCAAACTGAAGCTGTGAACAATCTCAAAATCTTCGCCATCCATCCTGATGCTGCCAATTGGTCCAGTGGTGAGAATCTTTGTCTTCTTGACATTGAGCCTCAATCCATACTGAAGGCTGCAGTCCTTGACCCTCTGCAGTAAGTGCATGAGGTCCTCCTCAGTTTCAGCGAGCAGGGTTGTGTCATCTGCATAACGCAGATTGTTGATAGATCTTCCACCAATCCTAATGCCACGTGTCTCCTCATAGAGCCCAGCCTCTTGGATAATCTGTTCTGCATACAGGTTGAAAAGGTATGGAGATAGGACACATCCCTGGCGTACACCCTTCCCAATTTTGAACCATTCAGTGTTGCCCTGCTCTGTTCTGACCACTGCCTCTTGGTCCAAGTATAGGTTTCACATTAGCACGATTAAATGTTCTGGGATTCCCATTCTTCTCAGAGTCAGCCACAGTTTGTTATGATCCACGCAGTCAAATGCCTTTGCATAATCAATGAAACACAGATAGACATTCTTTTGGTATTCTCTGCTTTCCGCTAAGATCCATCTAACATCAGCTACAATATCCCTAGTACCATGACCCCTTCTAAACCCAGCCTGGACTTCTGGCAGTTCTCTGCTGATGTACTGTTCCAGTAGTTTTTGGTTAATCTTCAGTAGAATCTTGCTTGCTTGTGAAGTCAGTGCTATTGTTCTGTAGTTTCCACACTCAGTTGGGTCACCCTTCTTTGGAATGGGAACAAATATAGATCTCTTCCAGTCAGTTGGCCAAGTGGTTGTTCTCCAGATTTCTTGGCACAGCTTGGTGAGCACATCCAGGGTAGCATCTGTTAGCTGAAATATGTCAATTGGTATACCATCTATTCCGGGGGCCTTATTTTTTTTCTATTTCCTTCAAAGCAGCTTGAACTTCTTCCTTCATCACCATAGGCTCTTGCTCATATGTTATTTCATTAAATTCTTCTGTATCTTCCAATTCCTATATATACAATGACTCAGTATCTTCTTTTGATACCTCCTGGATCATTTAACATTCTGCCTAAAGCATCCTTGATTGTAGCAACTCGAAAGTAGGCGGTGCTCGCGCATCGGGGCGGGGCAGGTGATGGAGGCGTGGCCTCACCGATAGGGGCAGGGCGGGTGAAAGAATGGGCGGGGAATTATGTATGGAGACGGAGGCGGGGCTCGCGAATCGAGGCGTGGCCTAACGGATGGCGCGGGACGGGCGATGGAACAGGCGTGGCCTCACGGATGTGGGGGCGGGCGATGGAGCGGGCGGGACATTATGGTGGGGCTCACGATCGGGGCGGGACAGGTAAAGGAGTGGGCGGGGCTCGTGAATCCTGGCAGACGGGGGAGTGGGCGGGGACCCCAGAGTGAAGCTTCGGGTGCCCTGAGCCCAGTCGGCGCCTCTTCCCGCAGGAGCGCCCCTGGCATGGACGCCCGCTGCCGGACCCGGCTCCACTGACGGTCTGTGCACCATTTACGAGGCTGAAGGTCCAGAAACGGCGACCCCCGTCTCCGACGCTCTGGATGCGGGGCCTGGCGGAGGCAGTGGGAAGACGGCGGCGGCAGCGGTGGCCCCGGGGCCCGGGGCCTCTCTGCGGGGCCCGAAGCCCGCTCGCCTGGGCGAGCTGCCGCTGGGGGCCCTGCAGGCGAGCGTCGTGCAGCACCTGCTGAGCCGGACGCTGCTGCTGGCAGCGACTGAGGGCGCGACAGGCAGCGGGGGCGCTGGGGGCGCAGGTGGGGGCGGGGGCGCAGGAGGCGCCAGGGCTGCCCTCAGCGATGCTGAACTGGGCCGCTGGGCTGAGCTACTGTCTCCACTGGACGAGTCCCGTGCCAGCATCACTTCGGTCACCAGCTTCTCCCCGGACGACGTGGCCTCCCCCCAGGGTGACTGGACAGTGGTAGAGGTGGAGACCTTCCACTGAGACAGACCCTAGCTCCCCCTCCTACCCCCACCCCTGCCTTAGGATCCGCCTCCCGGCCACGCCCTTTTGCCTTAGACTCGACCGCCATCCACTTGGTATCATTTCCTAGATTCATAGTCTTTTTGGCCTAGGCTTCACCCATGCCCCCTTGTTTTAGGGCACGTCCTGGTCCCTTGAGTCCCGCCCTATGCCCCTTGTGGTGTTTCCGATGCAGCCGGAGTTTGCAATAAAGCAGGTTTGCTGCAATTATGCATTTGTTATTACTGCGGGACCTGGGGCTGGGCAGGATGGGGTTGACAATGCTGTCCAATGGTGTGAACTGGTCCGAGTTCCAGCTGAAGGCCCCCCCTGAAAGAGTGAAGGGGTATCCCTGCCGAAGCTCCTTCACCTGTGTGCATGAACATGTGCCTTTTCATGTCCAACTTCTGGTGACAACTCTGCACAGAAAGAGGGGGAGAGGAAGTGGACCTGTGACCACGGTGCATCGCAGGGGACCTCATGATGTTCCTGGGGATAGCTCGAGACCCTTTACAGCAGCTGCTCCTCACAGATTTTCACAAGAAATCCAAAGATGAACTACATTGAGAAAATCTGCTGTCAGAGACCTCTCCAGAGTGCTGAAGGGCAACGATGTCAGTCTAGAGATTAAGGTGCGCCTGATCTAGGCCATGGTCTTTGCAATTACTTGTTATGCTTGAGAGTGCTGGACAATGACTAAGGATGACAGAAGAATCGGTGCCTTCGAGTTGTGGTGCTGGAAAAGAGTCTTAACCATACTGCCAAGAAAACAAATAGGTCTGTCTTGGAGAGGGTGAAACCAAGCTTCTCCTTGGAGACTAGGATTTTAAAGCTCTGTCGGACATACTTTGGGCACGTGGCCAGGAGAGACAGGTCCTTAGAGAAGGACATCATCCTTGGAAGGGCGGACTAACAGCACAGGAGAAGACCCCAGATAAGATGGATTGATAGAGAGACCGGGGCAATGGAGCTTGGTGTGTCAGAGTCAGTGAGACTGGCTCAGGACAGGGCAAGGTTCAGAGCTGCTGTACATAGGGTTACTATGGGTTTCAGGTGACTTGATGGCACATAACAACAGCAACAACACAACAACTCTTCGCAGGAATCCCCCCTTTCCTAAGGTACACTGGGGCTCTTTTCTGGCTGAGGGGAAGGCTGGCATGTTAGAGGGTTCTGGAAGGCCAGGATTGGAGGCTGGAGCCCCAAGTGAATGAAGAGATAGGTAACTGCTAAGCTCTGTGTTTCCCTGTTTACTGTCACACCTTCCCAGAGGACCCCTCAGGCCCAGGTCTGCTGTCTCCCAGCCCACTCCAGAGCTGGGCAGGAGAACCCCCTTATTGCCTCTCTTTTCCTGTTATAGACACCCAAGTTCATGGGCTCATTCAACCCAGGTATCCCCCTCACTGGTGTACACAGGCGTTCCCCAGAGCTCTGACACTCAGGCACCCTCAGCCCCCCAAAAAAGTCATTCATTACCTTTGGAATTAATCAGAACTCCTTGTCCTTCCTCCCCAGCCCAGTCACCCTGACCTCTGTGCCCCTCAGACCTTTGCTTGGAGCTCCCTCTACTCAGACTCCTCTGAGGATGTCCTGCTTCGGACCTGGCATGAAGGGGGAAAGTAGGGACTGAGCCCAGGTTCTCCAGGGACTTGGTCCTTCAAGTCCACCTGTGGCCAAGTGCCTGTCAGGCAGAGCACCAAACTTAGCCTTTCCTCCTTTGAGACACAGCCAACTTCTAGCCTGGGGTCTGAGGAGAAAGTGGTCTCCAAAGGTCATGGTCACTTACACTCGTGGGATTTGTAGGGGACCAGCACCCTCTCCAGCTTCAGGTTCCACTACAGACCACAGAGGGTCCCTCTCCAGTCTGGGTCTGGTGAGCACCCAGTTGTCCACAACTAAAGACTCTGAGACAAGTTCAAAGGTATGGCCTGCCCGCTGACACAGCAGATGTTCAGGGCTAGGTGACTCCCCCATGAAGGGCAGAGCAAACCTAGGGGCCAATGGAGCATGGCCACCCGGCAGGAGCAGGAGAGGCAGTGGCTCTGTCAGTGCTAGTCCGTCTGGGCCCACAGGAGCTGAGCATTACAGGACAGTATGTGGGACATGGCTGTTGCTTGCTGCTTGGCAGTGGATGGACACTGAGTGGGTCCACGTGGCATAAAAAGGGCAAAATCTGCTGCATCTGCCTGGACCCATATTTCCTTTGCCATATTCAGCTCTCCCTCACACTCCATAGGGGAGAACCCAGCCTCTCCAATGCCCATCCCATGGAGGAGGGGTCACTCTGTCTCTCACCTTGGTCTCTTCACCAGCCTTCTCACCCATCCCCTCTACTGCTTCCCCATCACCAACTCATTCCTGGCTTGAGCAGTCCCTCCAAATTTGGCCATGCCTGCCCTCTCCGGTCCTTCCTTCAGACACTTCTACCTCATCCCTGTCATGTCTCATTCTGCCATTTCTACCCTTGGATCTGTGACCACCTCCTTCAGGAAGCCTTCCTTGACTTCTTTGCATGCTTGTCTATTGGAGACCTCAGGTGGAGCACAGAAGTGGCACTACTGAGGAGACCAAGCAGAGGAGAGTCAGCCGGGACAGAGCCTGTGCTAGGGCAGTCAGTGGGGACCACCCCCTGGAAAGATGGGCTAGAGCCCTAGTAGTTCAGTGGTGAAAGCACTTAACCTACGAGCTGTGCCTTGGAAGAAGGCAATTTGCGTGAGAGGATTCACACAGCCTTGGAACCTGACGGGCAGTTCTGCTCTATCCCTGAGGACACTATGGGTTGGAATCAACTAGATAGCTGATCTCTCTTCTTTTCTCTTCCTTCCTTCCTTCCTTCCTTCCTTCCTTCCTTCCTTCCTTCCTTCCTTCCTTCCTTCCTTCCTTCTCGCATGTGCTCACTCTCCCTCCCTTCTTTCTCCTCCACCTCCTCCTCTTCTCTTTCTTTTGTGGGGGCCATTGGCCATGAACCACAGTGCACTGGCTCAGTGTCCCTGCACTGGCATGTCATCTCCATATCTCCTGAGAGATGCTGAAGCTGAGTCATCCAGGTGGGAAATCACAACCCTCCACCCAGTCTTTACCATCTCCAAAGCTACCCTCCCAAAAAGTGTTATGTGCATGGACCGCCAAGGAAACAAGTAGGTCTGTCTTGGAGAGGGTGAAACCATGTTTCTCTTTGGAGGCTAGGATTTTGAAGCATGTGACCTGGATTTTGAGAGTAGGATTTAGGGCACGTGACCAGGAGGAGGACATCATGCTCAGAAGGGTGGAGGGACAGCGCAGGAGAAGATCCTGGAGGAGATGGATTGATACAGTGACTGGGGCAATGGGGGTTGGTTTGTTGGAGTCAGTGAGACTGGCTCAGGACAGGGCAGGCTTCAGAGCTATTGTACATAGGGTCACTGCAAGTTGCAGGTGACTTTGACGGCACATAGCAACAACTGTTGAGTTGAAATCCATCCACAGGTGACCCTCCAGCGCGTTTCCAGAGCCAGTTCAAAGCATGGGAGGAGATTGCCCATCCTCTGTGGAGCAGCTGATGGGATGGAACTGGCAATTCCTTATCACTAAGGCACCAGAGCTCCCCAAAATAAGCGTCTCTTTCCCAAATCTGACACTGCAGCCCATTGTGAGCCGGTTCCCCAACCCCGAACCTGTCTGCTGCTGGCCACCTCAGTCACTTGCCTCTTTCCCATCTTCCTCCCCAGCAGCCCCGCTGCTGAGAGCTCGACACTCAGGACACCTGTGGTCAGTCCCTCTTCCTTTGGGCCTGACTTTTGAGCCCCTCACCCTAGGCCTGCCCGACACAGCGCTCTCAGTCCACCACTGTGTAAATACTTTATTTTCCATCTTTCCCGCCTGGGCGACATGTGGAGTGTGAACAGGCAGTGTGCAAAACGGTGGTGGGCAGTGTCCCCAGGCTTTAACACTGAGGAGTGGGCGACCGGGAGGGGGGAACAGAGCGTAGATCCCCGCCCCAGATGCGCCAGGGAGATTGCTTGTGACGCCACTCGAGGCTCCAGGAGCACCGAGGGTCAGCCCCGAGGGTCACGAGGCCCGGGATGAGGGGTCTGGGGTGTCGTTGGACTTTGGCACCGTTCTCAGCTCTAAGTGGAGCCCACGGGACCGCCAGGAGGCAGCGTGGGAGGCGGCTCCGTGGAGGAGGCCTCCTGGCCTGGCTCTGGCCACAGGTGGGGGGCTGGGACAAAAGGGTAAGAGATGGAGGTGAGCCCTCCTGAAGAGGTGAACCCAGAGGGCATCCCTCCACCACCGACAAAGGGGTTAGGAGAGGAATCTGAGGAGGGGGTGGGGCGAGGGGCGGGGCTTCGCTTCGGGAAGGCTGCTCTGACCTCGTCCCAAGCAGGTACAAACACTGCCACAGCCTGGCCTGCCTGGCTTCACTCCCCCAGGCCGCTCACGCCCCAGGTGGCCCTGCACACAGTAAGGGGGACTTTGGTTTCTGCTGCAGGGGCCAAGCCGCCGCCTGCACCAGGCAGGAAAGCCCAGCGCGCCCGGCCATCCGTTCTCAGCGGCCTGCGGCTAGTCAAGGATCCGTGTGTGCCACAGGGCATCTGGTGGTGGTGAGCAGCGTCCAGCCCTGAGGCGTCCCTCCTGCCTCGGGGCTCTCCAGCTCCTGGGTCCTTCCTGGCAGGGCCGTCCTTGTCCCAGAAGGAGGCCTGCTGCGACTGCGGAAGGAAACTTCTGGCTCGGCCAGCCCTGGCACCTCTGGGATGCCCTCGCTGGTGACTGGCCCTGGCACCGCCGGGATGCAGGAGGTCCCGGAGGGTGCAGGCCAAGCTGGGTAAACAGTGATGGCGAGGGGGGGCCTGCCAAAGGATCCCGAGGAACCCGCAGGGCCCGAGCGAGCCCAGCCTCACTGGCCACCCCTGCCGGCCCAGGCGTGGCCGTGGCTCAGGACACGGTGACCGCCCCGCCCCCGGCTCTGGCGGGCGGGGCCCCGTCTCAGTTGTCCAGGCCCTGGC